AACATTAGGGCCCTCCGAAAAATAGAAATTAGGGATCCTCAATACGGCCCCCCTGAGCTCCCACGGTTCTGAGGTCCCTGTAGATTGATTTAAAAGGGATTGTTGAGAATCCTTCCTATATTTTTCGGCCCCCAAAATCAAAACACATTATAGGGGACCTTCCCAATCATTGCCGGGTCCTGAATAAGCCGGCCCGAAAACACATTATAGGGGACCTCTAGAATAAAGAGGGTCCAACATTAATCATAATTGCATCAATGCTGGCAATGCGAGTGGCATAGAGCAAGTTATGACAGCATTGTGAGGAAAGCATCTTGGCGGGAGCATACACACCTCAACAGTGATCTAGAATGCCGCTGGGTCGGGTTAAACAAAACAGAGCTAAATCTAGCTATCGCCATTGCAAAATCTTCTCAAATCAAGGTCTCCCAAGCTTTTTCAAAATCCGGATTCTTTCCAATAGTACGATGCACATTTCCCAGAAAAATGCCTGCAGCGCCTAGGACCATAACTTGGTGTCTTCCAAAGGGCCCCGAAATGCTGCACTATAGTGCCTTTGCAGCCTTTGGGTACCTCCACATGCTATTTTGGCGTAATTCACCCTGAGACTTTCATGGACATGATGAGTATTTGCAGCCTTTGAGGCGTACCAAGTGCTTTTTCTTTTTTTAACAGTGTCTGCCGCAATCAAAGATTTTAAATAGCATGTGAGCTTCTGTATCCCCAGCATTTGAAAAGCACTACATAGAAGCCTGGAGAGAAACTAGACTAGGAAAACCGCAGCCACACCATCGGTTACAATATATACCAGCAAAATCAAAAGAGCACAGGAAAGTCTTCTTGAAACCTCTGGTTGTTTAGTTTTTGGTCCAGGTTCCAGGATGGAACCATGCATTTCAGCCCAGCCTCTTTGAAAAGCTTGCTGTCTAACCGAACGCCCTCATCGATGTTGTGCCGGACAGCCTGCAATGGAGAAGTCTGTTTCAAAGCCGCTGCCACAAGTCAGCAAGAGAGGCCTTGTAGAGGAACGAGGCTGCCATCATTTCGGTGGGCTTCCCACCAGCGTAGAAACCAAACTTCCTGGTCCAGATTTTGATTTTGTGAGCTATCCTGGCAAAGAAGATGATGCCCAGCAACGCTTGTGTGTTGTGCAGTAGTGTGAGGGAGCGCCTGCAAGTTGGATCATCTTCGCCACAAACCTGACTCAGCCCGACGGCCGAAGGACAACTACATGTACCAGACTCGATGCTCAATCCAAGGTTCCAGCATCAGGGAAAACAGAGTTGGCAATGCGTGCCTTGACCATGAAACCCAGACAATCTTGAACATACTTGAACCAAAAGGCATGACCCGCAGAATCCTTCACGTCCACCTCGTCTGAACTTATCCTCACATCCCGAGACTCCGGCCAAATGAGGTGATTTCCCCATGTCATCACCTTGGCCGCCAGCCCAGACCTGAACTTCAAATCGATGGGTCTCGAAGACGTAGACCTGCTACCACGCAGGTCCGGGCCAGCACGTAGTCTGCAAGGTGTTTCCTAAGCACTCTGCTTCTGTCGATGCCAGCAACACTTCATCTGAGCTGCCATGGCATCAGCACACTGCTTCAGTCAAGAGCAGTCTGAGCATCAGGCATGATGTTGTGGGCCTTTTTCTCAGGATTTGTCAAAGTCCCTTGGCAGGCTCAACCGCACAAATGTGACATGTGATATGCCAGAACATTCTTGGCAGTTTGCCGTGGCGGCAGTGGTAGATGGACACTTCCAAGTTCGCGGCGACCCAACGTGGCAATGTGCTCATGGTTCCAGGTGTTGCCATCTGCAATAGATGTGCGATTGCCTCAGGTCCGCGCGGACACTAGAGAAAAGTGGAATCGCACAGGCTCGGTGCCACATATGCGGACTGGAGAAGTTACCTATGCCAGTGATCTGATAACCGTAGTCCCACCACGCCATGACGCGAGCATCTGCTGGTGTGTTGGCCTACGAGGGACAGTGGTTGCAGCATCACGTTTGGTCGTCACGATCTTTCATCCGCCTTCAGCCACTTGTAGCCATCAAGGTAGTCGGTGATGAGACCCTAGCAGGTCACCAAAGGGAGCAATTCACGACTTTAGCACCAGCAAGGGCAGCACCTGGCGGCTCTTGAAGACAATCGACGGGTGCCCCATATGCTGGCAATAGCAATGGCTTGCATAGCTTGGAAAGCAGTTGCGTCGCGCAAGCTGCAGCCTATGCAGCGTGCACACAGGCCAGAGCTGCTGGTGCTATTTCCTCGCACGTCGCGACAAAGGTCTTGACCTGAGGTCGCGCCACACTGACAGATCTGACAGGTTCGTCTGAAGTAGGAGCGCCGCTTTCGAATTTGCATAGATAGTTTTCAGACATATGCTCAAGCTCCCTCTGGACTGGGAAACACACTTGATCGCGGATGCTCTTGTAACCGGCAACTAATACCAGGACAGCCACAGTGCAGCGAGTTGCCCTGAGTTTTCTCGAGGGCTCTTGAAATGCAAGGTGTATGGACGCCAAACACTAAAGTCCCGGCAGCAGAGCTAATATATAATCTCGAACTGAGCTAAGAAGGCTTGCCTGCACGGTCTCGGAAATTTGCAATGTAGACTCTCGGATGTTTCCAGGAAATCGGACACCTGCAAGTTGATTGCAACTTTGCGACGACCACGCGCAACACGAAGCAGCCCGGCTTCTGCAGGCAAGGCCAGCGGCTGTAAGTACTGCCACAGGCAGCGATATATTGATCCCATACCTGTTTATGGCGTCAACACGCAAAGCAAAGCATGGGAAACGCATTAACGTGTGCGGAGGTACGAAGTCTGGCCAAATTATCTGGGATCAGCAAAGACCAAGAACAACGACACTGCTATATTTAATGTAACCACGGTGAGGCATGGTGACAAGAGTGAATAACACCACCAGCGATGGGCTGTGGCATGCAACCTAACATGATCAGCAACCATAATGACAAGATGGACTCAACAAAACAGTGGCCCGGTCATCTTGCAAAACTCCTTCGGATTCAGTGTCATGGATGCTTTGGAGCCTCACGCTACCCATCAAAGTTCAGAGGGCCCCTTTGTGACGGGTCGATTGTTGGGGGGCAAACGATCTCTCTTTCTTACGTCGCGCCGCATTCCTGCTGAGAGTCCCCTGTACGGAAGTAGTGTAGATCAACTTGATAGTATCATCACTAAATCATCCTTTGTATTCCGTTTAGGCTAGTGATTCTTTTCCAGCCCTGTCAGTCCCAAAGCTGGCCGTTTGACCAAGGGCCTGAGAGAATGGTGGGTGCGAAGGCTCCAGGTGTGAGGTTGTATTGAGCTCCTCTACTTCCAAAACCAATCAGAACAGGTATGTAGAGTCATAAGACAAATAGGATAGTAGTGGGGGCTCAGTCGGAAAAGGCTATACTTTTAGGTAGGTTCAACATCTCACTTCTTTTTGCCACATCCAAATTAAAGCTCTGTTGGGAATGCCCGCATGCATAGCGATGCTGTGGTTCTTGTCCATACCCATGGTGATTTTAAGCTAAAACCTGGAGAAAGTCCACTCGCAGCTGGCTTGTAAGAAAGGGAGCCAAATTGTGAGGTTGCCCCATGCTAGAGAACAGTTTTGCACAGAAATGTGTGAACGCTCTACGTGGGGGATTGATTTCGAGTCAAAATGTGAGCACATTCCATGAGCTCGTATTTTAGCCAAAGCGTGAGATTCGCCAGGCAAAGGCTTGGTCTGCTGCTCGTCTTTTGCTGGGCATACAAAGGGGACCCCTGCTTAGAGAAGTCCATGTTAAGTGCGCCTAAGCAGTCAGTTTGTAATTGTTGAATTACAGGATCTGGACCTAGACACATCACAGTGGAGCGTCACGCCCAGAAACCTCTACTATAGGATACAGTACTGCGACGGTGGCTCTGGCTGAGCGAAGGGCAGCACCTGTACAGAAGAGGTAGCTTGACTGACCCAAGCGGAGGCCGAGACGACAGGCAGGTGCGGGCAGGAAAAGTGGAGGCAGGCAGCTGCAGGGGCTTGACTGACCCAAGCGGAGGCCGGACAGGCAAGGGGAGGCGGCACGGACGAGGAGGCGGGAAAGGCCTCAAGGCTCAGCGAAAGTGCTTGGGAGATCCGCCTCTGCAGGGAGGCCGCGGAGCACGGCACGCGCGTTCTCACGCTGCAGCCGGACGGACAGACTCTGCAGCAGGCGGTCGGTCTCGACCGAAGGGCTGTCCCCTGAGCGGGCGGCAATCAAACCTCCAAGCGCTCGCCAGGTGGCGGTTGCCGTTGGGCCCCACCCTCCGCTGCAGGCCTCAGCCACAAGCGGCAGAAACTGGAGGCCCTCAGAAGCGCAGTGGTGGTCCGTGTGCAGGTGGGCCCGTTTATGGGCTTCATAAGCTTCAACGGCAGCCGTCCCAGATTGCGCGGACTGGGCCAAAGTGGCACCAGCCCGAAGGCCGGAAGTGACGGCAAGGTCAAGGGCGGCAACCCCATGCAAACCCCACTGTGCAAGCCAGACGTCGGCGGGTCGCCGCGCGCCGGCCCCACGACCCTCATCAATTTTTGCCAACATGCAAGGTGTTCTGGCCATCATATGAGGACCTTTTTGAGAGCAAGATATCGAGCCAAAACTTGGACCCTCCCCAGCGAGAGTAATACAAACAGGAACATTGATAGAAAATAGAAAAGCAATCCTTGCAATAGCATTTGCAGGAGCAATACTTGATACAGCAGCAATAACCATTGCACCGCCGATGAAAACCATCAGAGACATAGAACAAGCGACCTAAAAAGCAGTAAGATTGCTTACTCATAGCAACTGGAATCAGGAAAAGCAGTGATAATCACAACAGTGCCAGCAATAGAGCAATATCAAGACATGGACGAAGAGATGTTGTGGTTTCTAGCTGAATCTCAATACCAATTCCGAGGTATCATGTTCGCTCCTTTCAACAAGAGTTGAGAAGGGTGGTTTCGCAGCCCACCCCACCCCATTTGCAAAACATGGACGAAGCTGACAACAAGTTGCTTTTTGCTAAGGTATGCTAAGATTAGACGGTTAGACAGGACTTCCTAGGCATTGCGTTTGCTGTTGCAGCCTCCCTCATTTGATTTGCAAAGCATGATGCACATAAGAAGGCAACCCTTGCTTTGCAAAACTGCAGGGAGGGGGGGAGGGTTGGGGGACACAGTTCCCCCAGGCTTGTTGTGCCTGAAGCCCATGCGTTTGACTTCTTCAGCAGGTTGGTTTGTGTCCAAGGCCCCGCGGCACTGTCCAATCAAGGGCATTGAACATAGCTCAGAACTATTTGAAATTGTCTCTGCTCCTTCAATCGGACATAGTACTACCTCGATGTCAACTGGGAGGCAATAGCTTTTGAAACCAGATTTTGGAGTATCGTTCAGGTATCGTTTGGGTATTGGTTTGGGTATCGGGCAGAAGCCATTCTGCTATTTGTTGCTTGCGTATGTTTGAAGGTATCGCTTGGAGCATCGCTACCCTCATTCTCAGCTGAGACATGCTACGGGGCCCGCACTCCAAGGTACAAAATCGCACAAAGTTCGTAGGTCAAGCCAGAGCATGTCGTACACGGCTTGTCCTTCGAACTCCAACGGGGCCTAGACTACGCAGCAATTATTCTGAGGTCACTCTGAATTCTATGTCGTTCAAGTTTTAGCATCCCCTGCTATAGCATGTTACAGCTGTGAAATGATAGAAGGCTTGCTTCGTTGTGCAAGCAGAATGGAAAGCAAGCAAGCAGTATGCGAAATCGCAAGAAACAGAACGCATATGGCACAGAGCAACAACCAGCAAAAGCAGAAAAGCAAAAAGTGGAGAGCAACAAGCACGTAGCAGCAAGCAGGAAGCGCAAAGCAGGAAGTCCGAATACTAAAGCTTGGAACTGAAAACCACAATGCCCTGGAAACTTGACTTGGACGACGGGTTGTGTTCCAAAAGAAGCAGCGCCGCAGCACTTTCAGCGTAACACTCCTCATTTCGAGTTTTCAAACGAATTTGTTGCATCCCTTCTCGGTTTAATCATGCTTGGTTTCAAGCTCAAGCCCTTTGATTGAACTATGAGGACTATTCTTCCTTTTTTTTTGTCGGACCTTTCTTCCACGGTACAGCTGTCCTTTTTGGTTCCAGGGCTTCCTATGAGCACTGCGCTAAATTCTACCGCCGCACCATGTCACATCAGAATATCACCTCATTACTGGTCGTGGACCTCCTCATTAGCAACAAAAACAGAGCAACATCCAAAGATCCAGGCAACCAGACAGCTGCGCTGACAACAATTACGGTAGCTAAATTGAAGGATCTTTCTGCTTGGGTCCAAACCATGTGCATTAGGGGCAGTGGGCAGCGCTGTTGCCGTGAGGGGGGTCCCCGAACACCGCACCAGATCATAAGTTTGGTTTCCACTGGTGCGGGTGGCTGGAACAACAGGGTCACAACCCTTCGCTGTGAGGAGTGACAGTTCGGCACCTCGAGAGTGTAGCGCTCCTCAATTCGGTTTGAAGATTCAAGACATGGGATTGCCTACCATGCTGTGATGCATGTTCAGAGTTGAGTTCCAGCCCGCTGACTGAAACTCGTAGAAAACCCTGGTGACAAATGCCCTGAATGATGACTAAGGCGCACGGGCCCAAGTCTAGTGATGCCTTCGTAATGGTGGCTTTCCGTTTCAAGTGATTGGAGTTGAAGAACAAAGGTCAAGGTCTGAACGGGATTCCAGTCTCTGAAGCAGGAGGCCTATGTTTGAGATGTCTGGTGTGTGTTTTGGAGTTGTTGGGGGTTTTCTCCTGTTTCCTGCTGGTCTTGAACCTCCCGCCTCAGCTCTACACTTTTCGTTTACTCCTGCCTCCCACTTCGCTTTTTGTTTCCTTCTTGCAGCTCTCCGTTTTTGCTTCCTACCTAGTGCTCTCTACTTTCTCTGCCTTCTAAGGTGTTGTTAAGGCTCTTCAACAGGTTTTTTTGTTTGGGACTTCACTTCAAATTTTCAGGCCTGGGGAGAAATGGCTTCAGGGTTAGGAGGCTTTAAGGGTTGTTAAGGTTCATAGGGTTTAGGGGTTAAGGTCGTTAGTATTTTCAGCATGTTAAAAGCTCTAGGGTTCAAGGTTTTGGGGGTGGTTTGGGTTTGGCGGCTTAGGGTAGCGTTAAAGCTTAAGGGCAAGGCTTTAGGGGTTGGAGTTTCGGCACCCGTGGGGCTTGGAGCTTGGGGTTTTAGGGTGTGGTCGCTTTAGGGGCTATTAGCCGTTAAGGTCTCTAACGTTGTAAGATTTACGGTTTTCCAGGTTTTCAAGCTTCAGGGCCTGAAGGCGTTAAAAGGGATTCAGGGCTTGTCATTTGGGGTTTTTAGGGCTGTAGGATGAGTACTATGCTGGCTTCTGGAGGCTTATATAGGGACTAGGGCTTTAGGAAATGAGAAGCTTCAGTGTTTTTAGGGTCTGTTCTGGGGGGCCATGGGGGTCCTAAGATTCAGGGATCAGGGTTTGGCGCTTCATGCCCAAGCCCGCGTGAGGATTTAGGAAGTAGATCCCCCTAAAGGGTTCTTAGAAATTACCCAGTACTAGTAGATGGTACCATAATAGATGGGCTCTACTCTCTGGATCCTCCCAAATTCAGGGCCTGATGGTGTCCCTGCGAGAGCAATGGCATCAAGCCCCAAGTCCGAGGATATCAGCCAATGCGCTGTTTTATAATCCTCTGTATATACCCCTCCTACATCCCCGGTACGAAAGTTTCGACATACGGAGGAT